GTATGAGTACTATCAATGTGGACTACCAATCTCAGTACCTACACCAAGCTTTGTATCAGTACTGTCAATGTGTAGTACCTATCTCAGTACCTATACCAAGCTTTGTATGAGTACTGTCAATGTGGACTACCAATCTCAGTACCTATACCAAGCTTTGTATCAGTACTGTCAATGTGGACTACCAATCTCAGTACCTATACCAAGCTTTGTATCAGTACTGTCAATGTGGACTACCAATCTCAGTACCTATACCAAGCTTTGTATCAGTACTATCAATGTGGACTACCAATCTCAGTACATATACCAAGCTTTGTATCAGTACTGTCAATGTGGACTACCAATCTCAGTACCTATACCAAGCTTTGTATCAGTACTGTCAATGTGGACTACCTATCTCAGTACCTATACCAAGCTTTGTATCAGTACTGTCAATGTGGACTACCAATCTCAGTACCTATACCAAGCTTTGTATCAGTACTGTCAATGTGGACTACCAATCTCAGTACCTATACCAAGCTTTGTATCAGTACTATCAATGTGGACTACCAATCTCAGTACCTATACCAAGCTTTGTATCAGTACTATCAATGTGGACTACCAATCTCAGTACCTATACCAAGCTTTGTATCAGTACTATCAATGTGTAGTACCAATCTCAGTACCTATACCAAGCTTTGTATCAGTACTGTCAATGTGGACTACCAATCTCAGTACCTATACCAAGCTTTGTATCAGTACTGTCAATGTGTAGTACCAATCTCAGTACCTATACCAAGCTTTGTATCAGTACTATCAATGTGGACTACCAATCTCAGTACCTATACCAAGCTTTGTATCAGTACTGTCAATGTGGACTACCAATCTCAGTACCTATACCAAGCTTTGTATCAGTACTGTCAATGTGTAGTACCAATCTCAGTACCTATACCAAGCTTTGTATCAGTACTGTCAATGTGTAGTACCTATCTCAGTACCTATACCAAGCTTTGTATCAGTACTGTCAATGTGGACTACCAATCTCAGTACCTATACCAAGCTTTGTATCAGTACTATCAATGTGGACTACCAATCTCAGTACCTATACCAAGCTTTGTATCAGTACTATCAATGTGGACTACCAATCTCAGTACCTACACCAAGCTTTGTATCAGTACTGTCAATGTGGACTACCAATCTCAGTACCTATACCAAGCTTTGTATCAGTACTATCAATGTGGACTACCAATCTCAGTACCTATACCAAGCTTTGTATCAGTACTATCAATGTGGACTACCAATCTCAGTACCTATACCAAGCTTTGTATCAGTACTGTCAATGTGTAATACCAATCTCAGTACTTATACCAAGCTTTGTATCAGTACTGTCAATGTGGACTACCAATCTCAGTACCTATACCAAGCTTTGTATCAGTACTGTCAATGTGGACTACCAATCTCAGTACCTATACCAAGCTTTGTATCAGTACTATCAATGTGGACTACCAATCTCAGTACCTATACCAAGCTTTGTATCAGTACTATCAATGTGGACTACCAATCTCAGTACCTACACCAAGCTTTGTATCAGTACTGTCAATGTGGACTACCAATCTCAGTACCTATACCAAGCTTTGTATCAGTACTATCAATGTGTAATACCAATCTCAGTACCTATACCAAGCTTTGTATCAGTACTATCAATGTGGACTACCAATCTCAGTACCTATACCAAGCTTTGTATCAGTACTGTCAATGTGGACTACCAATCTCAGTACCTATACCAAGCTTTGTATCAGTACTATCAATGTGTAATACCAATCTCAGTACCTATACCAAGCTTTGTATCAGTACTATCAATGTGGACTACCAATCTCAGTACATATACCAAGCTTTGTATCAGTACTATCAATGTGTAATACCAATCTCAGTACCTATACCAAGCTTTGTATCAGTACTGTCAATGTGTAGTACCAATCTCAGTACCTATACCAAGCTTTGTATCAGTACTATCAATGTGGACTACCAATCTCAGTACCTATACCAAGCTTTGTATCAGTACTGTCAATGTGGACTACCAATCTCAGTACCTACACCAAGCTTTGTATCAGTACTGTCAATGTGGACTACCAATCTCAGTACCTATACCAAGCTTTGTATCAGTACTGTCAATGTGGACTACCAATCTCAGTACCTATACCAAGCTTTGTATCAGTACTGTCAATGTGGACTACCAATCTCAGTACCTATACCAAGCTTTGTATCAGTACTGTCAATGTGGACTACCAATCTCAGTACCTATACCAAGCTTTGTATCAGTACTGTCAATGTGGACTACCAATCTCAGTACCTACACCAAGCTTTGTATCAGTACTGTCAATGTGGACTACCAATCTCAGTACCTATACCAAGCTTTGTATCAGTGCTGTCAATGTGGACTACCAATCTCAGTACCTATACCAAGCTTTGTATCAGTACTGTCAATGTGTAGTACCAATCTCAGTACTTATACCAAGCTTTGTATCAGTACTATCAATGTGTAGTACCAATCTCAGTACCTATACCAAGCTTTGTATCAGTACTGTCAATGTGTAGTACCAATCTCAGTACCTATACCAAGCTTTGTATCAGTAGTGTCAATGTGTAGTACCAATCTCAGTACTTATACCAAGCTTTGTATCAGTGCTGTCAATGTGGACTACCAATCTCAGTACCTATACCAAGCTTTGTATCAGTACTGTCAATGTGGACTACCAATCTCAGTACCTATACCAAGCTTTGTATCAGTACTGTCAATGTGGACTACCAATCTCAGTACATATACCAAGCTTTGTATCAGTACTATCAATGTGTAGTACCAATCTCAGTACCTATACCAAGCTTTGTATCAGTACTATCAATGTGGACTACCAATCTCAGTACCTATACCAAGCTTTGTATCAGTAGTGTCAATGTGTAGTACCAATCTCAGTACCTATACCAAGCTTTGTATCAGTACTATCAATGTGGACTACCAATCTCAGTACCTATACCAAGCTTTGTATCAGTAGTGTCAATGTGGACTACCAATCTCAGTACTACACCAAGCTTTGTATCAGTACTGTCAATGTGGACTACCAATCTCAGTACCTATACCAAGCTTTGTATCAGTACTGTCAATGTGGACTACCAATCTCAGTACCTACACCAAGCTTTGTATCAGTACTGTCAATGTGGACTACCAATCTCAGTACCTATACCAAGCTTTGTATCAGTACTGTCAATGTGGACTACCAATCTCAGTACCTATACCAAGCTTTGTATCAGTACTGTCAATGTGGACTACCAATCTCAGTACCTATACCAAGCTTTGTATCAGTACTGTCAATGTGGACTACCAATCTCAGTACCTATACCAAGCTTTGTATCAGTACTGTCAATGTGGACTACCAATCTCAGTACCTATACCAAGCTTTGTATCAGTAGTGTCAATGTGGACTACCAATCTCAGTACCTACACCAAGCTTTGTATCAGTACTGTCAATGTGGACTACCAATCTCAGTACCTATACCAAGCTTTGTATCAGTGCTGTCAATGTGGACTACCAATCTCAGTACCTATACCAAGCTTTGTATCAGTACTATCAATGTGTAGTACCAATCTCAGTACCTATACCAAGCTTTGTATCAGTACTGTCAATGTGTAGTACCAATCTCAGTACCTATACCAAGCTTTGTATCAGTACTGTCAATGTGGACTACCAATCTCAGTACCTATACCAAGCTTTGTATCAGTACTGTCAATGTGTAGTACCAATCTCAGTACCTATACCAAGCTTTGTATCAGTAGTGTCAATGTGTAGTACCAATCTCAGTACCTATACCAAGCTTTGTATCAGTACTATCAATGTGTAGTACCAATCTCAGTACCTATACCAAGCTTTGTATCAGTACTGTCAATGTGGACTACCAATCTCAGTACCTATACCAAGCTTTGTATCAGTACTATCAATGTGGACTACCAATCTCAGTACCTATACCAAGCTTTGTATCAGTACTGTCAATGTGGACTACCAATCTCAGTACCTATACCAAGCTTTGTATCAGTACTATCAATGTGGACTACCAATCTCAGTACCTATACCAAGCTTTGTATCAGTACTGTCAATGTGGACTACCAATCTCAGTACCTATACCAAGCTTTGTATCAGTACTATCAATGTGGACTACCAATCTCAGTACCTATACCAAGCTTTGTATCAGTACTGTCAATGTGGACTACCAATCTCAGTACCTATACCAAGCTTTGTATCAGTACTGTCAATGTGGTCTACCAATCTCAGTACCTATACCAAGCTTTGTATCAGTACTATCAATGTGGA